ATTTTGGAAGCAGCCAAATTGAACCTGGTTCATTTCCAACAAGTGAACTATCGTTTTTCATTGATTTCCTTTTTCTTTCTGAAAAAATTGTGATCACAATGTTTAATATGCTACAATCCTATGCGACCATTTTAACTTCAGAGATACAAACTTCGCTCCTGACGAGGTAAATAATATTGTTAAATGCACGGGCATGGGAAAAAATGGTACGAGGACAAGATACATCAAACATGGCACGCTAGATCAAAAATCGTCATAAATGAACCCAACAATCACAAGAAAAAATGTTAAAAATTGGGGTTTCATCTTAAAAAGTCAATCTTATTAAATGAGTAGTCAAAACCCTTATAATTTGATATATGTTTTCGTCTTTATTCAATATATGATTCCATCCCTTAATATCCTCAGAAGATAGTGGCTTGTTTGAGCAGACTAATCTTGAAATCCATGTACTCAATTTTTTATGAGTTTTAATCGGATTGAATTGTTCGTTTGAGTTTTACAGACTCTGATATCATGTTAAAAATTCGGGGTTCCATTTTAAAATCTCTTTTCTCCAACTTTGCCTATAGGCAAAGGGTTTTTCCATTTGTACCGAAAATGGATGACGGAATTTGACAACCTTTCACATGCAGCGGGCCCCGCGTAATTAAAAAATTCCAAAAAAAAAAAAGCTTTAAATTCCCTTTTCTCCAACTTCGCCTTTAGGCAAAAGGGTTTTTCCATTTGTACCGAAAATGGATAACAACGAATTTGATAACCTCGCACATGCAACGGGCCCCGCGTAATTAAAAAATTTCAAAAGATAAAAAAGTGGGGCCTCCCTATTGTAAGTGTCGATCAATCTGTATGTCAATCATTTTCGATACGAATAGCACAACTCTTAGGCAAAAACAAGTTACTTGCACAGTTGCACTGTCTTCACAAAGCATGAGAACAGGTGATTTCCCATTTAATCAAGAAATTTGACAGGCAAAAAATAGTGGCCTGCCATGAAGTTCATCCCTTTGCAGCCTATTTCTACATATTCAATCGCTGTCTCAAATCAACGCTGTATATTGAGTCCGAGTGATATGTAACATAGATACCCCGCACGGCTTAAAAAATCATTTATGTTTAAGATATTGAAATTCTCCCCTCGAGAAATTGAGTCATGTCACCGAATGTCGAGCATTGATTTTTTGCAGATGATTAGAATACCGTATGACGTTAATGTGTAGAACTTGATTAAACATTACAATTATCATTTTGATCACACATTTGTAGCAACAAGTGGATTTAGTTCTTGAGCAGTAGAGGAACTCGATCTTGATAGCTTGCAAACTAAGCTTGTATATCGTTCAAAAGACGTTTGTAGCAATAATTGTATTATCTTTTCTCAACGTTTCGACATTATTAAAGAAACATTTAGACCCGAGTCACGTATCGATATAATTTAATGAAATGAGAATTAAACTTTTTTGTGCTCCAAAATATAGAATTATTGATGGTCCCTAAACATATAACAAGTATTCAGTTGAAGAATTTTTTTTGTGTCAATCAAGTCATTAAATTTGAAATAAAAGAGAAATAAATAAATAACTGCACCCCTGTCCAACTCCTAATATGCGAGTAAAAATACCAGGCTGCTCTGTCTCTCTCAATCTTTAGGCGTAATGGGCACCATCAAGCTTGAGTTTTCTCAAACAGGTATTCGCCAAAACCTCCGAATTTCCGCACTTAATCTCACACCGCGTACAGTAAGAATCAGCTGTGGCTTAAGAAATTGGTCCAGAAAACCCATGTGGAGAACAAGAGTGCTCTCCACTGAGGCAATTCAAGCAGTACAGTCATTAAAATTGGCACAAAAATCCCCTTCCAGATTAGAGCAAGTTTTCAGCAATAAACTCAATAGGCTTTTGAAGGCTGATTTATTGGAAGTTTTGGCTGAGTTACAAAGACAGAATGAACTGGATTTAGCCCTCAAGGTATTCTTTAATGATTACCTCTCCACTTAAAAATTTCTTTTCTTTTCCCTTTTTGGGTTATTATTGCATTCAGCATTAAAAAAAAA